GCTGTCTATATAAGGAGTAACTAAGGCTATTTTGGAGGAGGTTGTCAATTTGGATGTTTTTTTTATGTACGTAATATATGGACGAATTTTCAAAATTCTTTTTTGTTCGAAAGGGGTTTATTCGGAAGGTCCCATTTAAATTTCATATTTCATATATAGATATAGATGAGTTTTGGAGACAGACAACGGAACTCTTTAATAAATGACAGAAAATCAACCGCGATTGCTGCTAGGTCTTTAGTGTTCCTTGTTAGTATTGTTAGAAGTCGGTTCAACTTAAAAAAAGAAGATTTATCCTCTCAGAAAAACCGCCAGATCCGAGAATCGAACCCGAGGGCTCACGTATCGTACTACACCACTAAGGCAGCGTAGGGCCACCGCTAGCTGTTTCCGATCTAGTTATTTGTATCTTTATCCTTATTTCAATGAGTTTAGAAATCATTCAGAATCAGATTACTTAATTTCGATACAATTATACCGCGGCATGTTATGGCATGCGGCTTCATCTACAGATTCAACACTGGTATCAGTTGTGTAGCGACCCCTTGTAAAACCAAATTGTCTATTGAGTAATAAATTATTATTATTAAAAATAATAATTTTTCCTAAAAAATTGCTCAATACTTGTAGTACTGAGATAGGTCTAAAGTTAGTTAGGTCAGATGTACTACCAGATATCGTTCCCGTAGTTGAAATTAAATAACTATGATTTTGTAGTTCTGAGATAAACGCGATTCAGTGGTTTTTTATCAGTTAATGTACATTTGTTAAAAAATGTGAGACAATTTTAGTGTCGGTAATTTTATATTTTGTGGACCTGATTATCTTTTATATTATGCTTTAACAAACTGAACTCTATCTTTTACTATAACAAAATAAAACATTAAAAATCAAGCTGTTTAATTTTGCCACAACTATTATTTATAACGTAACTACAATTAGCTACTTATTTCGGCTATTTATTTAGTTTTCCTACAAGCTAAATCCATTTGGTAGAGTAAAATTTGGTGAAATAAATGCAGTTATTGAATTTATCAAACTTTTAAATGTAAAAGTTAGTGGCTTTATATTTTACATTATTTTGATATTTTTAACTATTATTGGTCTCATATAAAATAAAAGCATGTATTATGATATTAATAAAGTTATATTTTGGAAGAAATATAAAAGTACAATAAAATTTAAAAAAAGGGTATTGTAAACATATATTTATCTTGCCACAAACTTAAAAAAATTAACGAAATTATAGCAATTATAACAAGTGGAAACAAATTAACTTAAAGTATTCTTTCAAATGAAAACAGAAAATAATTTAAACCCAAAAAATAACAATATGACTCTAAAATCAGAGACCTAATTACAAAAGACATACTTAAGTTGTAAGTAAAACCATGAAAAACTTTTTATTTGCCATTGAACTTATCATTGACCACAGTTATTGATTTTCCTTCAAAAAAAATAGTGTTAGTCTGAAGATATTTATTATTCAATCTGTCCGACAAAAATAGCTATATTTTTGGAATGGAATAAGATACGATAATGCCTGTAAGGCTCAAATATGCGGCATGTTTTAGGTATTTTGAAAATATGGAAAAGTCAATATCGCCAAAACCGGACTTATTTAATTTTCCAACCACGGGGACGATATATAAGGAAATAATTTTACTAGACTTCATAAGATCAGGAAATACACTACTATCAACACATTGATTAAATGAAAATGACAATTAATTAGCCACAAGAGATATAATTGTCTTAGTAATCAATACAGAATTTCCCCATAGGTTGGTTGTTTTTTTTTCCCTTTAATAGTGTTAAAGGCTAATAATTTCAAAGGGGGAAACATATTAGAACTTAAATTCACTATCTATTCGCTAATTCACTATTCGAAGCCTATAAATATTTGCGTTTATTTTTGTGCACCGATCAATAAATGTTACTACGTTGAGATCAGAGAAAAATAGGTACATCAGACATGCAAATTATGAAAAAATTTCGTTTTCGTTTCAATATCACAAAACCTCTGAGGAATCTAAACCACCATGCAGCCAGTCATTCCCAAGTTATTCTCATCTTTAACAGCTTTTAATGGTCCACTGCTGGACATAGGCCTCTTCTTAGAATTGAGGTTTTGGCATTGCTCCCTTTATAAAACAAAAAAAAACATAGTTTAACTTGTAACCTAAACTATATTACAATCGGGGTCAGACATACAAAGGAAATTTAATTGAGTATTGAAAAAGATAAAAGGTTTTAAACTTCGAAATTTGACACCAGATAACCCCAGGGAAGTTTAATTGACGTCATTGTCTCTAATTGTTGAGATATAAACAAGTAAACTAGAAATGAGAAAACACTCAATGAATTGGCGAAAATAAATTATAATTGCGATTTATTGTGCGGTATCTTGTTTTATTTATTTAAGAACTTATAGTATAAAAAGAGATCACCAACACAGCACAATGTAGAAACTCCAACAAAAAGATTGGATTGATGAAATTATAAACACCGCAGGATGCAGGACAATCGGGTCTATCTGAAAATCATTGAATTAGGTCTACAGTAAACGTCCAATTCGATAAAGTTAACGAAACTATTACAGGGAAAATATTAAGATTGCTGGTAATCGTTTCGGTAACTTATCGGATTTTTTAATTATTTTTTTCTGTTTTATGCTTTTTATTTAAGATATGGTAGGATTCATACCACACCTTAAATAAATGTAGATATAGCTAAAGGAAATTCTCTTCTTAGTTTCATCTTATAGTCTCCAACCGCAAAAATAAAATAGTGTACATAAATAAATAAAAAATAATGGGTTCTTTTCCTGAAAAAGTTTTATAAAATTTAGTACCTAAGTTATTATGTTGTTTCGATGTATTTCTGAAGTCCTTTGACTTAGCTATTATTATGAAAAAAAAATATTATGAAAATTATGAGTTTTTAATATTAAAAACTCTAAAAATTGTACTAAATTTACAATTATATTGCAGGTTTTAACCCAACATAACGAGAAATGTAAGCTGCCAAGTTTAGAGGGCATGAAGCCATACTAGTAGGCTAATACGGACTTAGGTGATAATAGTATAGGACTAAGTCCTGACAAGTATTAAAATAGAACTAAATTCTATTTCAGTACTACGTCTAGGTTTGATAATTTTATGCCCCGCGATGAATAAAACTAAAAACTTATTTAATGAACTGATATCTAGAATATATTTCAAGACAAGGGGCTTTATGTAAAAGTTTCCGAAATTAACCAATAGACTGATGCTCTTCACGCATTATCGCTTCGCCTTTTTTTTTTTTTTTTTTTAACGTGTGGAAATCCCCTCGGACCGTCACCCCACCGGGGTTTGCGGCGGGGTGGTGTGTCGGACTCGAACCGACTAAAACCACACGGTGTGCCCTCTTTGCGCTTCCAGTTTAGGAGGGGTCCAGGTAGTTATCGCTTCGCCTGGTATAGCCTTTTTATGTTTTCGAGTATAGTTCTCAACTTGCCAGCTTTAATCTATCAAAAAACGCTATTACGATATAATAAAACAATGTAATGATAATAATTAAAGTAGTTTATCTGCAATTAATAATCTGTTGTAATTTAAATTAACTAAGAGGAGAATTCTGCAAAATCATGAATTCTGCAGAAAAAATATAACGTTAACTGTAATTAAGTACCTATTTATGACATATCTTTAACATAATCAGACTGTACAGATACAATAAACGATCGAATTATACTCACAAGTGACTAACTTGACTTGGTCACTATAAGTATTCTTCAATAAAAGATGCATTTACTTTAGTACTTTTAAAAATGAAATCTCTGAAAATGCTCTTAGCCATAACTCCTTTTACTATCGAATGTTATTATTGAAAGATGTCCATTTAAAGCGAGTTTAAAGTGCCATTATTCCTATTCATTTTCTTGGAAATTTTAAAATTATATCTTTTAAGCACATTTTACTTGCTATAAGCGTAAAACTGTTACCTACGTATTGTTTCAAACAGTTGCCCATGTGTACACTGGCGTACGTGCCTTAGTAGATAAGATAGAATTTGTTAATTAGAGTAATAATTAATACGTATTAGACAGTATGTTAATTTCAAATAATGTCTTAGCGATTTAGACGTCGTATATGACCAATATTTTGTGTAAATAAATGAAATTTGATTCATTGAGCAGAAAGAGCAAAAAAAATACATGTATTATTTTTCTGTAACTGTGTATATTATTAGTTAATGAATACTTTCAATAGTTTTAAGAGGTTTTTCATAAAAGAAAAAGTACAGTTATAGGTTTTAAGGTACACTCTATTTTTAGTAACCAAAACAATTTTAACAAAAACCAAACTTCTTAAATACTGATACTTATATATAACAATAACAATATTACCCACCTTTAATTATGAAGTATCCTCTATTATTCATACTACCCTGAGTGTGCCAAAAAATACCAAGGTTTCATATAATAGCAGTACTTCGTAAAGAAAACGTAGGGAAGTTGATCCTTTCACGGTTCATAACACGTTCGAAATAAAGGGCGGCATTTGTCGGGTTTATTTTCGAGCTCATTTAATAGGAAAAAACGGTCAATAATATTACAAGATTATATAAAATCTGTAAACAATAGAAAGATTTTATAATGTATTTTTAAAAGAATGAGTATCTACGAGTATTGATGGGTGTCAGACACCTACCACTTGTAAGAGTCCTTTTAGACACATAGGTTTTCAAACTTTGTAAAGAAACAAGTACAGTCGCTGGAACGTAAAAGAAGGCTCTCCTTGACCGTACTGTACTGTGTCCGGACGGACCACAACGGTAAAGTTTTTAATAACATTACTGAAAGAGGAAACTTAAAATAATCTGTAAACTAGATATAAATATCCTCCGACTTCAGCATCCAATATGAACTAGATTTACTGTATATTTGCATAATTACAAAAGAAAATTGAAAAAAAAAGACTTATTTGCCTAATAAATGATTGATATTGTTTCAGAATGAATATCTTCACGCAGCAGTATCAGCGTTGACTAAAAACCAAGCAGAGCATTACGACAAATACAGCTGTTTGTAAGTATTAACTCTTATAAATAAAATTATTGCCACCTAGCGTTAACATCTGTGCGGTACATTTACTCAAGTGGACTGCATTTCAGATTGAGAGCACTTGGACCTAGTTTAACCGCTTTAACTGCGAATAGTTTAGCACTGTATGTTAAATGCAAACGTTTGAACTTTGCACATACAATAATACGATAATGTTCATGATTGCGATGTCTCATAAAATGAAAATCATTTTACTATACTCGTACATAAATGCTCAACTAAACTATCTCTGTTCGTCTGGCTTTTTATGTTAGGTTATCAGGAGCTTAGAAAAGGATATATGGTTCCTATAATATAACTGAATCTAGGAGGTAGAAGAATATATAGGCGGAGGGCCTGAGGGCAACCAACGTCGCACTACTACGGCAACCGCAGCGAGTGCTGGCCATCAGAGTGATGAGGTTACCGTCACCGTTAGGCCTGGATGCGAGATCTCTTGCGGCTCTGTATCAGTGGCGCAAGGAAAGGCGATAGTTAAGTCGGAGTTGTGAGAGTCGAGAAATCGAGGCCCAGAAATCTCAACTCCACCTGGTCCTCATGGAGGAGTGGAAGAAACGGCTTGAGTAACCAAGCGCCGGGCACGCCGTTATTACGGCGGTAAAACTCGTTATGGACGATTGGCTTGAGAGTCATCACGGGACCCTCTCATACCGGCTGACGCAGGTGATCACCGGGAATGAAGCTTGGGAAGTCACCTGCCTGCCTGCAGTGAGTGCCGTCACTGTGATGGTCGGTGGTAACCGAATGGATTTCCGCACAGAAAAAAAGGTGGAGAAGAATAATCTAAACTAGAGCAAAGTCGCTGGCTAATGCTAAATACTAATGTCTATAAAAAAATTGATAATTGTGTTTTGATTGGTACAAAGGTTATGGTCGGAAACATATGGACGTTTTAAATTCGTCACCGTCTACCCCTATAAGATAAAAAACTAGAGTATATGATTGTATGTGTGTTTTTAATTGGAGGAGTTTAGCCTACGATTGAGCTAATAGGCTGATAACTTATGCCAAAGGATTGAAAGCCTCAGGAGTAAAAGGGTCTTAGAGTGAAGACCGGGAATTGCAATACAGCGGGTAGGTTGGCCCTCTGCCAGATAGACCTATGAGATGAAAAAGGGGACTAGTATGAACAGGCTACGGAAAACTGAGGACTGTGTACTATGCCTCAAAATTGAGGGATTCCTATTTGCAGTCACATGACATCAACTGTCTCTAATAGTCCACTTCTCGACATAGGCCTCTCCTTAGGAAGAAGCTCTCGGCCCACTACGCCACGCTTGCCAGACGGGATGAATAGTGGTGGGGACACTGCGTATTCTTAATCCGTCACCACACGGAAAAAAAATGAAATGCTATACGTTTATTGGTTGACTTAATGTATTACCTATTCATTTCATAAGTCAATAATTGAAATTGAGTATACTTAGTACATAACATTTAAAATATTTAGATGCTTAATAGGTACCAATACATTGTAGAATTATTTCGTATCGTAGTAATTACATTAGGAAGTACCATTGTAACGTTGAGTCACAATAAAGGGAGAATGTCTATATTTACACCAAGGGTCGCTTCGATTAAATTAAACTACGCCTCTTTGATCAAGTTAAACGAATTTATAACCTGACAAATCCCCGATCGAAACATCAATTTACACTTGCTAACACGAGTGTTGTTACTTGATAGAACTTGAAATTAATTTAATAAGTTTATTATGTGTTTGAGTAGATTATAATTTATTAGAAAAACCCACCCTGAATCACTAAATGGGTAAATTTTCTTTCTTTCAAAAACAATGATCTTTGGCCTTTTTCAAATCAGGTGTAACTTACCTTATAAAAGACTATGCAGAAATTGACCTGTGAAGCGGTACTCACTTTCCATCAGGTGACCCGTCTGTTTCTTTGCCCTGTATATCATATTAAAAATAATATAAAAACATAAACAATTTTATTTCTTCGCTGATAAGATTTTAGTGACCGTGGTTTTTTGTTGGGTAGATTTACTTTTAACGTCATTTATTTTATATTAAATTTCAAAAATGGTTTCAGTTCTTTCGTTACTCGGTAAATTTTCCTCTTAGAAATTAATATCAAGATAGAATTTCAATTTTTATAAAGTATTAAATTTCTATTATTATATGAGTAGCGGCGATGATTTGAGGCGATAATACCTTGACTTGACATTTCATTTTATTCAATGGAACAGAACTAATAGCGATTGAAATCAATAATAAATTAACGATAAAATTCAACTCCATCTATCCTCCATTTCATTTATCATTTGAATTTATCCACCCAAAGGTTGTCTGTAAGAAATTAAAGTTAACGAAAAAGCAACACTTTGTTCATTTTTTTTACCATACGTATTTCTAGAAAAAATCTGTAGGGATGCTATATTATATTTTTTATTATATTTTTATTATTCTATTTTTAAAACCATGTGTTTCTTTATTAAAGAGTCGTTTATTCTTACAAAGAATTTAAAAGTAAATTTAAAGCGGTTTACGCAAACCCTCCTAACTACGAACAACCTTCTTTACTAATTAACTCAAACTGGTAGGATTAAATTTAATTACGCTGCCTCTTTAAATTGGTCGTGTAATGCTTAAGCGATGTTCAGAAAATTAATGTTTGTTGTTTTGTAATTAGGGGTAACAATTATTTTCTAATAAGACCTTTTTATATTTCTAAGTAAAAATTCAATACTGCGACACTGACATATAATTTGATTGCAGTTAAATTTAATTCAACTAAAAATTTCAAGAGTAAATATCTCAGTATAAAAACTATTTTCTTCTTTTTTTAAACACAGTGATGTCCCATCCTTAGACCAGTACCAGGTAGTTATTCCACCAGTATCAAAGTAAACTGTTAGTCGTAGTACAAGTTTATTATTTTTAAAACCACTAGGAACTCAACGATTTAGAAACGAAACCTTTTCAAAGCAATAGGTCTCGAATATAAATTGATTTGAAAAATAGGTAAGTAGAAGTAGTAGGGGTTCCTCTCTACTCCTATTTACAGGGCAAATAGTTTCAGCTACAGAAGAAAACACCCACGCATTTCTAGTACGATCTTATATTTCTGCTGGTGTAACGGAAACTGAAACTAAAACGCAAATAGAGTCAAAATTTCTATATTGACTACGTGAGTCCGCAAAGATGCCACTGTATACTTAACGATGTCTTAATGTCTTTTTTTTTGTTCACAGACGTAGATTACCAGACGAAGTGAAGACTTGTAGAAATTATGCGTATTTACAAGAGATATATGATGCTGTGAGGGCTACAGACAGTGAGTACCCATATGCCGTGCTTATTACGCCATTAGTATAATTATAATAATAATAATATCTTCGGACATCTGACACACAACGCCATCTAGTTTTAAACTAAGCAGCACTTGTATTATGAAAGCTAGATTGACTGATAGAATACTTATATACTCAAACACTCAAACTCCATAACAAATATTTGCAGATTATACAAACATTTGGTCCGACCCGGGTATCAAACCCGAGACCTCAGCTCAGCAGTCGCATACGCTGCCAATGCACCACCGAAGCAGTCAAACTATTTTATTCCATTTTCTTTTCAATATTAATGAATAACTTACAATTTGTTATTTAAGAGATGACATAATTACGTATTAGCAATAAAGCGAGTTTAGTGGTTTCAGTAGTACCTGCTAAAGAAGCGATAATAAAAAACAGTGTTACCTGTAACTTTTTATGAGTTTACTTTTATGACCACGGTTTCTATCCTGTTCGTAGTATATTTCTTTCTTTATTCCATCACCATCCAAATTCCTACACCCTATAATTACAATAATATTTTATAATATGAAGATTTGATCTCTCAGTCTTAGTGGCCTTTCCAATAACAGGATATGGTCAAACTGTTGCAGTTTTTGCCCCTTTTCTAAACGAAGACTTCTGACCTTAGGTCCCTATTCCTATTCATTTTTCTTGTCCTGATGTGTCAATTAGTAAGACAGAAACAAAGAAATAAGGTTCTCTTCTTTTTTTTAATTCTGCAAATGACAATATTTCCAATTAAATTGCTAGTATTAAATTGCTTCACATTAGGTTAACACCTAAGAAAATTGGAAATAGGCCATAAAATAATGAAAATGAATATTATTACTTAATAACTTAGTTGTAATTATAATTTATTTTCAGATAACCTAGAACATAGAATTGAATTTCAAAATACAAAGAAATACAAATATTAGAAATACAAAGAACAAAGAATTGAATTTTAAATAACGAAAGTCGTTCATTCCCTGCTATGTCTCTGCGTAAACCATTGAGAAATGGCATATGTGAGTGTTTGCATATGAACAACAAGATTAGACTGGTTTATCCAACATTGTATTGATTTATCACACCTGTGTTCTAAAGTATTGATGGATGTGGTTCCATTGGGAAACACCATTTATAAACTTTTTCTGTCAGGTAATTCTGAATAGCATCACGGAGTTTTGAACTGCCATAAGAGAGATATATTACTGAAGTTTTATTTGAATACGGCGGTCGGCAATGTAATTTACAGTGAAATTATTTGAAATAATATGGTATGCTGTGAAAATATTGTTGTGTTTGTTTAATTATTCTAGATAGTAATGATTTTACTTAGAAACACCGCAGGGCAAAGTTCAGAGGGCAATTTTCATCATTGACAAAAACTTAAATTTTCAATGTAAAAAATTGTATTATTCATATATCAGCATAACTATAACTAAGTTCTTTCTTAAAAAAGGCAACTCCAGCACTTAGAATAATGCAGCTTCATGGAATATTTTTTGCAAACATTGAAACAACAAGTACGGCAATCGAAAAGCTCTGAATATTTTTGATTACTATAAAAAATTTAACGATTGGAGATTAGAAAACGGTAATCCATTAGTAGTTTTGATAACATTTACATAATACATAGTTATGGCGTGCAATAGGAGAGGCCTATGTCCATCAGTCGACTGCGTGCGATAGGCTAACGATGATGATGACATAACTATAAATATATCGTCATCTTTTTGTCTCGCAATTTTTTTTTCCTTAAAGTAAATTTCTCAGTTACATAATTTCCATATTGCCTAGTTTCTTTGTGTCAAAGTTATTTTACAGGATTTGGGAATGTGGGTATTCCAGTGCTTAAAACGAGTAATTTGACCGCATCTGATTACGAATTTAATCTGAACATATCACTTGTAAAACGCCGCTTTCACAATGAGGGAAAATTTTCTTCGATGACATTATTTTTAAACTATTTGTCAAACGAAAAAGATATTTCAGTTTTGTCTGGAAAATTTTCAATGTTAATTGAAAAATCAGCCATTTGTAACACAAAGTTAAAAAGAAAACTTTTTTTGACAGTTACTCTTATCATACCCAATGTGAACCATCCACCAGATTAAATTTTCGCTGGGGTCGACAGGACTGCAACAGGCCTGTATTCATCAACCCTTGACCCTGATCCACCTTTCGGCACTGGTATGACGCGAGTTAACTTCCACCTGTCTGGAAACATCATTGCACTTAAGCATTCATTATAAATATGAAGCAAAGGCCCAGCCAACACTGACCGACAATCCCTAAAGATTTACACTGTCTATAGTCTTTGACACTGTCTATAGTTCACTGTATACTGATAACGTTAGCTCTCCAGAAAGTTAATTATCAAATGCGATCACGTAATAGACCAGAATCTTGAACGTTTAAGGCATGATTTTCTTCATTACCTCATCCGCTCTTATGCCTCGCGTTTCTATAGGTAATGTTTTCATCATCATCTCAGCCAAAGACCCAAGATTTCCCACAATAACCGCTAGTGTGCTGCACGCATTCAAAGGCTTATCGAGACCTACACCATGTCGTCGGATCATCTTGGGACCTCCCCACGCTCCGTCTTCCAATACTTGGCTGTAATTCGAAATCTTTTTGGCTTCATTCCCCGCCCACTATGGATCTATACATCTCCTCTTCTCAGAATAAAACTATTGCAGATGTTATCTCTAAATATGCTAAATCGCTGTGCTAAGTTTCATATAGATCCGTTCGATAGCTTTTGCGTGATTGCGTAACATACAGACAGACAGACAGACAAAAATTCCGAACATTATTTTTGTTTTTTTATTGTTCTATGGTTTTTACTGAGTTAAAATATCTAAAAAAAGTTTAATGTAAAGACATTTTTTTACTCATTTATTATATGTATAGATTCTATTAAAAAGCATTTATCATATTTTTTTTGTAATGATCAGCATTATGAAAACTAGACGTAATGTAATAACAACATAGAAATATAAGTTTTATTTTATTTATTGCAAGATGAACAATAGCAATCTCTTGGCATAATGTCAAATAACATGTTTTTATTGAGTAGGAAAAAGTTGTTTAGATTAGATACGATTCAGTGATTTGTCGAGACCTTCCAATAGAAATTTCCTTCATCAAAATATCGTACTTATGAAGAAAAAAAATATGTTAGCAATAATTTAATAGGCGTGCGTAAACTAGAGAAGATCAGAAATTGTTATAACGATAACATGCGATATCCCAAACTTTTTCAGTTTTACGATTTCTTATACTTTTGGATAATAGGTAAAAGTTTGAATGAATGTTTGGAGTTACTTACGCAAAACGGAATTAACTCTCGGAATGGTAGTTTTGAGAATCTAATTTTTGAACACAATTAAATTGGTTGGTATTTGGCAAAAGTTAATTTATGAAAATATTATATAAACTGCTATTTTTATGTCTCTAAGTGACGATTAGTAAAACATAGTTACTATGTTACATTTTCATGATAAGTTTACCGACCTACATAAAATAGGCTGATTGCTTTCTGTACGCATTTGCTAGAATTACAATTTAAATAGAACTATTTACGCAAATACGCACATAAAACAATATAGTTGCTTTAACACTCACTGAGAAATATATGTACTATGATTCTATAAAAGCCGTTATGTTATGTTTATTAGTGTCGAATTATTATGAACTAAAACCGCCATTTCTTGTTGCAGGTGTTAGCACTAAGGATTTTATGGCAAAATTAGGGGAATATTTAATTTTAACGGCTTTCTCACACAACTGTCGACTTGAAAGAGCTTTTAAATGTTTAGGCACCAATTTGACTGAATTTTTGACTACATTAGACAGCGTTCATGACGTATTACATGATCAGGTAAGTGATAAAATAATGTTATACAATTTTTTGATTTAAATTTTAGTTGTAATTATCCATGTTTATTCATAAAGGATTTTGAAAAACAGCAGAATTTTGAACTTCAATATAAAATTGTTCTTTATTAAATAGCCTTAATTATTTCGTCACTTCAAAGCTTTCAAAACTTGATGCGGGTAATTTAAATTTAGGTACTGGTAATACCTTTCAAAGGCAGCTAATTTTACAAAAAGTAACGTGTAATTGTGTACTTTGCAACAATTTCGATTAATTAATTTATTTTACCAATATTGAATTTGTAACAATAATGACAAAACTAATACAAACTAAACTATTTACATAGGACGATGTTCTCAAAGACGAAGCAATGGAATACGAGGCAAACTTCGTTTGTACGACATCACAAGATGGGAAAATTCAGTTACACCTTACAACAGAGAGCGAGCCTGTAGCTTACCTTCTAGTGGGTAGTTTGAAGGCAATTGCGAAGTTGTTATACGATACACAGACGGATATAAGACTGACAAGTTATACCAACGACCCTAGGAGATTTAAGTAAGTATGACTGGTATGATGAATTAATAATGATGATGTTGAAAGCTTTAGCTGAATATTACTCGTTAAACAAAGTTGATACTTACAAATCGAATCGAATTCATTTCTTTAGATATACGAGTAAAAACTAAATTGCTTTAAAATGAATCCAAATAATTGAATAACAAATCTTTTTTTTTTAAATGTTGAACCGACTTCCGATGATACTAATAAAGAACACTGAAACCCTAGCAGCAATCGCGGTTGATTTGCTCTCATTTTTTGAAGAGTTCCGTTGTCTGTCTCCGTAACTCATCATCAGATCTTTATGAAATTAAAATGGAACCATACCAGAATAAACCCCTTTGAACAAAAAAAGGAAGAATTTTGCAAATCCATCCATCTATGTATGACGAAGTTATGACTGAAAATAGAAAAAAAATAAAGATCCGAATTGATAACTTTCTCCTTTTAGAAGTCGGTTAAAATAGTATTAAACGATCACAAAAACTATTTTGCTTTTCCATATCTTCTACTCCACTAGAACTGAGCCAATATTGAATGTTTCGTTCAATTTTAAACTGGTTCCATATGTCTGTCTTACATATATTATTTCTGTACTCATGGCACAGATTGTGCCATTTGCTAATTTGTATTTTTATCGGTTTAATGTTTTTAGTCGCTTCGTATTCATCTTGTGAAGATAATGTTACTGAAAGAATTATTAGTGCCGACAACAGAATAATTTTGATATTTTACAAACAGTCGGATAGTCGATGTCGGTAGATAGGTGCTTGTAAAACCAAAATCAACATTATTTCAAAAGATCTTACTCCATCTTACTTCTGATTTACACTGCGGTTCCGTCGTGAATCAATTTAATTTAAGACCCAACTCTGATTTGTGTATTCAGTATAATTTTGCAAGATTAGATGCTTAATCTTATCAACACTCTTATTAAGTTGAGGGCAGTTTGGTAAATATACTCACAGTTGAAAAGATAAAAGAAATGAAGAGTTGCTTATGTGTGAGATTATATATATAAGTGTAAAGTTACTAGGTATTGTTTTGTATATTTTAGGTTTCTGTTCCCAGATTTTTTCTTCTTTCTTGGGAAAGTCCATTTCCTCATACATAAACCTACATCTAGTTCAAAAGAAAAAGTCTTTATTTGTTTTTACTATTATAATCGTAAACTTCTTCCTATTATACCATAATATTTCAAGTTTTTGAGAACACAGAGCATTTTTAAACTCTTCTAGACCCCATCTTCTAGTTCCATTACTATTTATTTAGTTATAAGCCACAAAATTGTATATTTTCATAGACGTAAAATTTTCAGGTACGAAATAAATGTAATATCACTACAACATAAATCCAAAGAGGACAACAACGAACAGGCGGGGACGACACCTATTGCAACATCAACGAAAGTTACAGATTTAAGAATTGGAGTTGCCAGCTTTTGCAAAGCGTTTCCTTGGCATTTTGTCACGGACAGAAGATTGGAGTTGGTGCAACTAGGTATGTAATATTAATACTCAACTCAACATTTTTTTTATTATCCTTTAATATGTATTTTAAATGTAGTTCTTGACTGTTTTCCTGTCTCTCTATTTGAATGCGATATAATAATAATAATAATATATTTTACTACATTCACACAACGCCATCTAGTCCCAAACTAAGCAGAGCTTGTACTATGGGTACTAGACAACTGATATAAATACATATATACTTTTTTTTTTGTGAATACATACATATTATACATAGAAACACTCAGACCAAATCAAACATCAAATGTTCATGCACACAAATGTTTGACTTGTGCGGGAATCGAACCCGCGACCTTTGGAATAGCAGTCCGTCAACAAACCACTACGTCATCCGGTCGTCAAGTTCTATATGTATATATATGCTCTTAAAGCACTGAACAGATTTATTTAATAAAGTTAAAGTGTGTAAATTCTTTGTAAAATTTATAACAAACGATTAATGTTGAAGATGTTAGAAAAAAATCATACCCCTTTGAAGTTTTACTTACTGACAGGTGATGCGTATACCAAAAGTTATATTAAAACAATGTATTATGACGCGTAAAAGATCTACTTAATATAGCAATGCGTCTATCTTTCAAGAACTGTTAACTTAGCTTTGCTGACCGTGAGTTCTTACAATCGGTCTAGTTTAAGATAAGACGGTCTTATGTGTGAATTTAAAAAAAAAAAAAAACATGACACAGAGGGAAACGAGCAGGCCTGTTACCTTATGAAAAGTGACCACTAATTTAGGAGTCACAAGTTCCTAGTTACTAGTAGTACTCATCTAAAATACTTCAGAACAGACTAGTGAACTATTTTTATATAAAAGAAAGTCTAATGTCCGTGCAGTGAAAGTACTCTCCTGAACTCGAATTAGAGGAAATTACTCGAAGAGAAATATCTGAGAACCAATAAAGTAGTCACGGCTATATTAATACAACAAAATACTTTTATTGTTTATTCTATTAGTCGATATTGGGCACTGAAGTACCCTGTAGACTTTCATAATTAAGAGACATGGGGAGAACATGTGAGCAGGCCTCTTGTAAGCAAGACGCAATTTTACTCGAATGAACGTCTTTCGATATTGACTATGAATTCTATATTGTATTTTATTATTTGTTAAGATCCTTATTAATGATTTCTATAAATTGCTTGCTATAAATGAATGTGCTTGAACTGCCACGCTGCCATGGTCATACTTATATTTAATTACTATCATTACATCCAAGGTTTCATTTAGAGATTTCCCTTATTGTATTTTTGATAAAAGATTTGATAAAAGTATATGTTATGAATTGTGACGTCTTTTGCAATCTGGAAAGATAATCATATCCAGAAACTATAAAAAGATATTCTTACGCTTTCGATGTGTTCGTTTTCAAATACCTAGTTATTCGTTTTTTTTTTATGTACGTATTTTAAAGAAAACCTCCTTTCTAAGGAGAGGCTTATGTCCAGCAGTGGATTATTAAAGGCTGTTGATGATGATGATGATGATTTTAAAGAAAGTAAAATTATTTTAGTTCAGGTATAAGCTACATCAGTGGACCTCTATAGATTTAACCAGAATTAAAAATCTTGTGCTTTAGAAACCAATCAGATATCAGTGATCAAACAATATTTTATTACGGTATGATCTGTCTTAAATACAACACGATGCATACAATGACACACATTTCATAGGTTAATAGCGTTATTGCTATATTTTTGTTCGGCGCTATTTGTGTTTAGCTCTTTTTGTTTACCACTTCTTTTGACCTAAGATGTTGAAAACCTCCATGTTTACAATATTTAACTTCGCAACAAGTTAGGCACTATCATTTTTTTTGTGTGCCCAGCAAAGTCCACAGTTATTAAAACTATAGTAAAAATTAGTTCAGTTTTTTAGGTATCTTATGCTCAGATACCTAAAAAACTGAACTATTTTTAAGGTTTTTTTAAGGTTTTTATATTAATATTTAGTCTATGTTATGATGTTATTGTATCAGGAACAATATCAAATATATCGGTGTACTATTTTATTTAAACAAAGACCACAAATCAACATTGTCAAAACTTCTACAGGCTATGGATTGCCATTTATTATGCTTATATAGTCAGTTAAAACAATAAGTGAAAAAAAATGTATTTACATTTGATTTCAAGATCACATATCTTCAATATTACTCGTATGTGTTATCCGTCTTCAATAAGTTTTATTAACAACTACGAATACGTGATCCTAAGTCAATATTGTATCAATCAGTCAGTTGTTTGTATAGTATGATAAAAAAAATCTATTTCGAAATTAGTTTTAAGCCTAAACTAAATGTTTACATTTCATTACAAACTTTTTCTGTGAATGAAGCTCTGAAACGATAAATCTAAAAATATCTTCGCCTGACCTAGAGTGGGACGTATTATTTACATACATATGATTTATGTTCCAAGATCGTGGTTATAAATGCTTCGTTAGGTTGTAAATTAAAAAATAAGGTTCGCTTAATATTATATTGCTTTCAGAGCTCGAACTGTTTTTATCACATTACGTTAATTATTTGTATCTCTGTTATCTTAGGTACATCTGATTTCTTTTCACAACGGTTATTTTTATTGTGGGTCTTATAATATTAATATAGGAATAATATTTGAAAAAAATAGTAAATTTTGGTCATTTTCACTTTTTTCCTAATAGGTATATCGTTCTGCTGCAATTAGAAGCCATTCTATATTAAAATATTAAATATACAAATATATACGAGTAGTAATATAGTATACATTACAAAAATGTATACATAAATATAGAAAATATTGAAAGAGATGTTAAAGATTGGTTCGTCACCACATGGCACCATACACCTCCAGAACACCCCACTCAATAGGGTAGAGTTCTTTAAATACCTTGGCTCTATCCTGTCGAGCAACGGCACCATAGAGCTCGACGTCTCCAACCGCGTCAACACTGGCTGGATGAAGTGGAGGGAGCTTACGGGTGTGCTGTGTGACTCTAGAATGCCTGTAACAGTCAAAGGTAAAATCTACAAAACTGCCGTAAGACCAGCCCTAATGTACGGCTCGGAATGCTGGCCGCTCAAGAAGCAGCAAGAACACCAGATGCATGTCGCCGAGATGAAAATGCTCAGATGGTCTGGTGGCGTCACGCGCTTGGACAAAGTGAGGAATGAGCACATCCGCGGCACTTTTAGAGTCAGGCCAATCCCAGAAAAGCTGCTGGAGAGTAGACTGAGGTGGTACGGGCATGTCATGAGGCGGCCAGAAGATCACATGACCAAGAGAGTTCTTGAGATTAAAACCGGACCAAGAGGACGAGGAAGACCCCGTTTAACATGGCAATCAGTCATAAAAAAAGATCTGCAAACGGCCCAAATAGATCCGCAGACGACCCAGGACAGAGCGTCCTGGCGAAGATTGATTAGGAGAGCCGACCCCAATTAAAATGGGATAGGGCGAGGATAAAGAAGAAGAAGAGTTAAAGATTGGTTCGTTGATAAGATGGTTTAAAGAAGTATTTTATAATATTGATTTTATTCTCTACGTAGGTCACTATATAAGTTTTGAGATGCTCGAAATTTGAAAAACCAAAACATCCGTGTCATATATTATTAAAAGGCAAATTTATTTCAAAATCGAACTCAAAAGGCCATTTACAGAATTTTTTTTTTTTAAAGTTTGAAGTATTATACTGTCAGCTTATTTAGGTCCAGACCTGAGTAAGCTGACAGGTCAGGCCGGGACAGCAGATGTTTACTGTGCTGAACTGTTTCGAACAATGATGGTAAAACTGGCAGTAAAACAGCCCCGACTCGTGAATCGATCTTCACCAGTATTGCTCAATGACAACGCAAGACCTCACACTGCACGAGAAACAGTTGTAACTCTACAGGAGCTGCAGTTAGAAACCATACGTCATCCTCCGTATGAAATCCCTGATCTGAGATTTAAAAAAAAACCCAGGAGGCAGTACACAATGCTTTCTCACAGTTTGTCGAAAACTGGCTAAAGGTGATTCTGCTCCTTCTCGGGAAACATTTTATGGATAAAAAATGGGAAAAGTAACCATGAAGGTGATGACAGAAGTGGACGCCTGCCAACAGACGTTACCGCTGAAAATGTTTTGACTACTAAAATGCTTATTCGAGATGACCCACGAATTATATACAGGAACATTGAGAAAATCTTAGGTATCAGTGATGAACATCTTAGGACGAGGAAGATTTTTTGTCGTTGGATGCCTCGTTTGCTTTCCTAAAGGCTCGTGTGGAATGGTGACGTGAGATGCGTCTATGTTTCTGAAATCATTACTGGCGACGAAACACGGATATATATCAATAAGATCCAGAAAGCAAGAAGCGAACAAAATTGCAAGCATTGGCAAACAAATGGTGAACAGTTTTTTTTGAGAATTATAACTCAGAGTTGTACAATACAGTCGCATTGCCAAAAGTTTTCAAAGCTAGGAGAGATGACCAAAGATCGGGCTCCGGGAATGATGCTGTTCCACGACAATGCTTCTTCGTACTCTTCCCTCATAACAAAGGCGTTTATTCAAGAATCGGGTATGAAAACCCCTACCTCGCATACCTTACAGCTCCGACTTACCTGAATGGAAATTCGTATAGAGAGTGAAGGAGAGTATTATAAAAATTAATTTAAGTATATATTGTTTACTTTTTTGCGTGTCTCAAAATTTATACCGTGACCTACGTATACGGCTAATGCTTTACTGTTTCTCATGAAATAGTTTAATAAAAAAAATTGTTAATTACATCATTTTGCCTTATTTCGATAAACAACCTAATCTAAAATACTAATTCCTAAATTAATCTGTATACTTAGTAGATCAGAAAATGACATTTTGGCAAAAATATTTTTGTCTTAGTATTTAAAATTTCAGTAGAGTTAGATCTAAACGTTCTTCTTTCTTTGTGCATTAGAAGACCTTATACTACTCATACACATTCAGCTTTTCAAAGTCAAAAAGTTTTTATTTTAAAACATGATTCAATTTTTAACTCCATTGAAATCGAAATACGAATCCTTCTAATTCACTTTCCACCATTTTTGATAGGGTTTTAAAATTAAGTCGTTAAGTTTACGGCACGTTAGGCGATTATCGACAAAAGATCTTAAATTTTACCCTTATTTCCGTACCTTTTTCCGCTCATAGAAGTTAATGAGGGTAGGGGATTTTCAGTTCTGATGATACAATTACGGGAGTTCAAAAATGTTTGTATATGAGACATTAAACTTAGTTTCTATATAAGTTAAATTATTTCACGATACAAACGGGTTGAAAAAAGTCGGGTCAAACGACCAGACGGGTCACTTGATGGCAACTGGTACCACCGCCAACGGATAATTAGTGGCTTTGACCTTCAGTAAATTTAACCTTCGGTATCACTCCGGTCAAGTCGACCCATTTGTGCTAAGATAATAAACAAAACTGATTACTATTTTTTTTTATTTGAAGTCTATTGCGTGCCTGTATTTTTTTCTGCCGGTAAAGCTCCGATTTAAAACAAAATAAAACAATGTTGACATCATAATATCACTGAATAGTTAACTAGTATTAGATGATCAAACTTGTTTCATGGATTTAATTAATGAACCAACTTCATTGTATTTTTTAATAAATACTGTAAAGTAATTCTTATATAAAGTTTAGCACTGTCAAAGTTAACCTTGAGAATTAATGCTGAACTCTAAAATGATACTTGTCCCGTCAAAAATACATTACTTTTTACGCAGCTTACGTAGAATTAAAAAGACATGGATTAAGGAAGCGTTACATTGGATGAAAGAATCAGAATTACACAGCTGAGGTTTTGACAAGTGGACGATCAATTCATGGTACAATTGTTGACATTAAATTGACATCATCCTTCCAGCCATCCATCAGACGAATCGGACCGTGGATTACGGACAGTAACATTATTTCGAATAAGTATGTGACATATATAAGCATCAGATTATTAAGTATTTAATTAGGAAAAAATAAAAAAAATATTATTGATGAACAGACATTGTATCTAAGGAATTTGTTGGAGCATGAGGTATCGATTATAACTTAAGTATTCCGCGATCGGCTACTGCTCATTTTATTGTATGATTTTTTTAAAGTATAGGGGCGTAAACGAGCAGACGGGTCATCTAATGACAAGTGAGAGGGTTTGGCCTCCTTTAATGTCACTCATTCGCTTAATCCCGGTTTTCTGTGAAGCCGTGGTATCACTCTGGTTGAGCCTGGTCCTAATCTGTCAAAACATAGCTCTCCCACGACACTTACAACAAATACAACATCAAATAAATATTTTGATGTATATGTTGTGAACTTGGATTGCTTAAAATTTTTATAATCGAAAAATAAAATATTAATGACTACCTCGAAGTCTTCCGTCGAGACTTTTTTCCCAAACTAGGTTTGGGTTGGTTTTTCAGTCTCCGACCTCAGACCTCCACAACCCACGTACTAGGCGATATCGAATTTCTGTAGAAATACTGTTTTTGGACTTTTTAGGGCCCGAAATACCCGTAACGATTGCCACAGATGTTCGCATTACAACCGCGACCGACAGCGTAACGTGCTATCCGAGGCACGGAGGGGTCTCAATGTGTTAAGAATGGTTCCCATACATTGGCTGACCTGGCTATTGCTTATTGCTTCAACTACTCAGTTACCACTTATTCACGACCTTGAATATAGTTTATTAAATATACTTTAGTTGTTTCAAGTTTTATGGTATAGTTAATAATTAATATTTAAAACTCGAGTCAAACTCCGAACGCCGCCTGACGAAAATAAATCTTTTAAATGAATATGAGAAAAAAGTCTTATGTCGACATATGTACGTCCACACGGTCTTTTATTGGGTACGGGAGAGGTGATTTATCGAGACATGACGGCAGACGCTGCTTGCTTGGCGACCTTGAGACGTCAAATCTGCTGAGGCCCTGATTCGGGGGAGTTAGGTTAAACTTCAAAATGGATAAAATTGTCCGGGATATATGTACATTTCTTTCATCATCATACGTAAAAGTACGTATTGTACGTTAGTAGGACGGTAAAAGAAATTATTTGCTATTTCTAACACGTCCCATTTGACAGTTCCTGTATTAATAATATTATCATTTTCGATAAAGCAATCTTTTGTTGACATTGTGGCATAAACAGGACCATGATCTTCTCATACATTAATTTACAAGTAGAGAATCAGTTCATACGCTGAAATGAATTTCTAGACAATTTTCGACAACTTTCTTTAACTTTATAGAACTCATCTTAAAAAATAACCAAAAAATGTAGAACTCTTACAAGAAATTCTTTCTTTTTTTTTTCGGAACGTTGGTAAATATATATATATATATTTAATTGTTTTAAGTTGCATGTCTTTTTTTTCTATCGATATTTAAACTGAAGCTATTTAGTACAAATAATGAAATAATAAGCAATTATAAATTCAAAATGTCGTAGTTCTTGTAATTTACTGTAAACATCGAAATAGTACTTTCCAAAGTTCTGTTAAACAATAAATTTGAAGCTCCAATCACAAACACATGTATCATGTATCTGAAGAATCTTTCGTCTCTTTTCAGTCTTTTGGCCCTTTCTATGACGAATGACTTCATTTCAAACGTCACACCAATGTTGCCAGTCCGGGATCGACCTTACTCAAACAATATGTTTGACATTCATACAAATAATGCTTTTTTTCTATACAATAAAACAAATTTTGAGCCAAAAACCCTACCTACAATTCGGAAGTAAAAGTAATATATTTGACCCATTTTACACCAAGCCATCTGATCTCATGTACTATGGTAATAAGACTACCGATAAACTTGCTTATACGAGTTTATTTCTAAGTTCATACATTTATTATGATCGAAATACTTGTACTACACCCAGACTCAGAAGAATTGATCATGGTTCACATCATCACATCACATCAACAGCCTTTAATAGTCCACTGCTGGACATAGGCCTCTCCTTAGAAAGGAGGTTTTGGTCTACTATACGACGGCCGTCAGACGGGTTGGTATAGGGATTGTGTCAAGTTTTCCTTCTTTTTGCAGTGTTGGTGTTCTGCGTTGTTTTGCCCTTAGTCGGCTTTTACGACAGCCATGGGATGAATTGGGGTAGTGACATTCCGTATTCTTAATCCATCACTACACGGACAATCACTACACTATACGGATCATGGTTAACACGCAAATATTTGTCCCGGGTGGGAATTAAATCCAGGACCTCTGGCACTCTGGAGCACTAACAGCTAGACCGCTGTCACTATATCAGGAACGTGTACAGTTGATAGGTTCATCTTAAACTGCTGGTATGATCTCTAGGTATAGTTATCTAGTCGAGGTCTGACTGCACGGATGGCGTAGTCATTTAAGCGGTCGCCACGTCGCTCACTACTACGCTGAGTGTTGTGGGTCCTATCCCCACACTCTTGAGGACGACAATTTTTGTTCTGAGTCTGAGTGTTCTTTGTGTCCGTTTCATGTATGTTTGTAAAGTCTCCCGCGGTACAGGATACATTCTTAATGCGGGAGTTGTCTTTAAAAAACCAAAGAAGAAAGAAGAGGTGTATCGCGAAGCAATAAAAGTTTAAAGTTTTATTCATTTGTCACAATGGCTTCAAGTTCGAATAAGCCTTGACGTTTACTTTTTTACTAAGGTGTATGAAAACCTTTATTTAGTGTATTTCAAAAAGATAAGAGTGCTATTGTAACCCTAAATAAAACTGTAATTTTAATAGCGATAATAATAGCAAGCATAATAACAAGCGACCCTCAAGCTTTTGATCAGCTGCGCTGCCCTAATTGCGTTCTTCTTTGAAACAAATATAATTTATTTATAGTTCTTGAGTAGCTTGTAACCTGCACTTGTACCGACTAGCAATGTTATCCCTTGTCAAAAATATTCTAGTCACATCACGTTATTGCATCATCTACGCTTATCATTTGTTTTAGTACAATATTATTTTTATATGATCTGCATTACAAATAGACTTATGCCTGACGCAGGCCAAAGAGGCCCAAAGGATGCCATATAGTATACATATTTATTACCACTTATGTAAGCCAAGTATCATCAATCATCGCAGGTGATGGGATGAGATGGGAAAATTTTGAGCACATATGTATATGTAAAGGCAAAAAATTGAGGTAAATATAATCCAGCAGTGGACTGGGATAGGCTGATAATGATGATGAAATGGAAAGGTAGATATGAAGGGAAGGTAACTTATATTGTTAATAGGGATGGTTTGAGAAATATAGCAGTAGCTTTTTCTTTTAATAGAACCCCCTAAGTTATTCTTTATTTTTTTCCTGAAGGTGCTGGATTCATGCGACTTGTTGGCGCTCATCTAGCGTCTCATGGCTCATCGCTTGGCACGTACTTCCGACTACTGCGTCCACGAGGAGTTAGTCTCGACTTTCGCGAGATCTTGAAGAGAGTCAACACACCTTTCATGTTCTGCTTGAAGGTTCCTGGATCGGCGTCACCGGCTGAGGTGAGTTCTCTTAGTCTTAGTTTATTAATATTGTTCAAGTATTTATATTCTTAAATTAATTGCGATGGATTAATATGCTTGATAAATATCCACGGATGGTATTTTATATCATATAACTTTAATTAGTAATCTATATATACAAAAATTTAAAGGTGGTTTGTGTACGCTTCAAAAATTCAAAAAGGTCTGCACCGATTAACCTAAAATTTTGACACAATGAATAACCCGCTTAAAAAATCATTTTTATCTATTTTACACATTAATTTTGTTCCTCATGTCTCATCAATACAACCCCAATATGACACAGCGAAGTGTGACAGGCTACAACTAGTATTTTATGACGGTAAATAAATTTTAATGAATATCATTATCACATATAAGAAGAAATTTTGTAATAAAATTAAACGCTTACTAATCAGATCATCATATACGTGGGGCATACTGAAAGTCTCTGAACCTGGCCACTCAAAATAAAATAATGAAAAAACCATTATGAAATTCGGAAATGGAACTCTTTGGGAACATGTTACTTTTTAATTTGCGAGACTGACATTTGTTTTTTCATTATGACGTCCTTTCGAAAATTGTGTGTCGCTACCAAAATAAATTTCACTCGTGAACATTTTAGTTCAATGATTTTTTATGATTTTCGTTGTGACTTAAGTCAACAAGAGAGTTGCCAGAGACTTTCAATAGCATTTGCTGATGAACACCATATCGCAGCTCTGTGTATTCATAGTTTGGAGAATTTAGACGTGAACATGATCATCTCCATGAAGAGGTACGTGAAGGTCGGCCGGCGACTGCGGTTACAGACTCTAATATTGAAACCGTACGACAACTTATTGAAACTGACGAAAAAATTACTTGTCAACAGTGCAAAACATTTTACATGTGCATCTGAAAGTTCGAAAGCTTTGCACTGTATGGATACCGCATTACTTAACGGAGGACGAGAAACGACTGCGTGTTCAGTGGTGCCGTTAAATGATAAAAAAAGTTTAACGGAGGACAGTCATTGGCTGTCTATAATATCGTGATAGGTAACGACACCTTGGTGTACTGTTTCGAACTCGAAAGAAAAGCGGCAATAAATGTATCGTAAGTCTTATATCTAGTCTTATTTATCAGAATCCAGAAACTTTCAGTATTCCCTAAGTAGTTAAATTAATTTATGAAAGAATGACATAAAGACATTAACAAACCAGCGATGACCTTTTTTTAACATCAAGATACGCTTTTTATTTTAGTCTAAAAGAGCGTCATTATTTAAATGTACGTAAGCACATACTTTGATTGTAAGAACCATAATAAATGTTTGAATACGAAGACCCATAGCTTTTAAATAAAAAGCTACTTTACAGACTAGCGAAAGAGCTTAATTAGTAGCACATGAATATCAAACCAGTTTTCGTTTATAATTAGCTTTGCAACTGTTCATTATTTTCGTTTTGTTTTCCTTTAAAGAAAAATTTAATGAAACATTCTTAAAAGTAAATTAAAGGCTTCTTGGTTTCGAACAAAAATATTTTTGTGCACTTAATACTGAAAAAAAGTTGGCTTTGATTAGCACAAATGATAATAATAACTAGATCCGTTTTTTCCGTACCTCGTCGTTCTTAGGTAGGCAGTAAGGTAAGCTAATTAAGAAGACGCTAAACCTCAGGAGATTTTATATTTTTTTAATTTTGTCTTTAAAAATTATTCTAAAATCCTACTTCTGAATTGACATGACAAAATTTTTGACGTAATATTATGAAGTAGATTCCTTCTCTTCTTCTATTAACTTTAAGACACTTTTAAGTGAACGAAAATGAAGAATAAAGAGAGAACCATTTAGTATTCATATTGAACGTAAAAGAAAAAACATGAAATATTAAAATTAATTATTACTACACATTAGTAACTTTTGTCATTTACAACAAGATGTTTTGAACTTAAGAAAGTCAAATGTTTGTCAAGGATACATAAGTTCGTAACTATATGTTAGTGTACTAAGTCTCACAATGAGAGATGCACTCGAGTGACCTAGTTTATAAGATCTTGCACCGTGTGTTGAAGTTATGCTTCGTTTGTTATTCACTCGCCTTTGTCTCAATTCTGCTGTTGCGTTTTGGTAATATTACGATTACATTTCATAAAGTAATTTTAATAATTGTTTTTGTGGTATAATAGTAACCACTATTTATGTTGTAAATGTTGTTAAATGTTGGTTGTTAAATGACAACACAATAATTCTTTGCCCATGCCGAGAGTGCTCTTCCTGATAAAGGATGGAAAAAAAAACATTCAGGAACTCGAATATGGCTTCTTAGATCGGCTGTGTATGGCTTTTAACCGCTTTATATAATAAATATTAAATACAGATTAATGTGTAATAAAACAAATATAAGAATCCAATTTTTTTAAACTTCTTTTAAATCCATAATTTTTCGGACCGGGGATTAATGCCATAATATAAATAGACACAGCTGTGAAAACGATTTGAAATTACAAAACGTAATCCCTAATTTAGACTCAAAAGGCGATTTATCAGCAAACCAATTTATGATTGTGCTGATTTACGCATCAACAATTATTATAATATAGCATAAAGCTCATCGCACACTAAACGTAAATATATGCAATTTTTAAGAGATACCTGATTTTAACATGTTATGTCATTCAATTCACGAGTTTGCGGTGAGATTTTTAGAAAATACTAGCTTCCCCGGCAAACGTTGTATTGCAAAACAAAAAAAAAATAGGGATGGGTCACCCTTACCATTTAGGGGTATGAAAAATAGATGTTGGCCGATTCTCAGACCTACCCGATGTGCACACAAAATTTCATGAGAATCGGTCAAGCCGTTTCGGAGGAGTACGGGAACGAAATTTGTGACACGAGAATTTTATTTATGAGATTAATGTGTTGTTGTGTGATGATGTGTTGTTCACATGTAACTGTTCATTAGACATAACATAGGTAAGTAATATGATACATTTTTGTTTTTGTTTTTTTGTTTTCCGTTACGTAAGTGAGTTGTATGCTTTGTCCTATTGTATTATTTCATTTATTCTTCCAATAAATGTAAATCTTTTTGTAAAAATTAAAAATTAACTAGTCAAAATCATCCATTAAATGACCCTTAATTTACAATAGCATATTGTGTCTTTAAACAGCAGTATAATTATATGTTAGTAAGAAATTCAAAAGAATTATCGCTAGAGAGATGTCAGGTATTGCAAAAAACTCGATGGGACTTCGGATATCATTTCCGAGGTCTGGTCCCCAAGTTGGTTGGGGCAGCGCGTGCGTTGGCGCGGCTGCTGCCCAACATGAAGGGACCCGATGACTCCTGCAGGAGACTCTACTCGGGGGTTGTGCGGTCCATGGCCCTTTACGGGTGCCCGGGCCAGCAACGTCGCGATACTGCGACGACCGCAGCGAATGCTGGCCATCAGGATCATAAGGGGGTACCGCACGATCTCCTTTGAGGCAGCGAGTCTCCTGGCCGGAACTCCACCGTGGGACCTGGAGGCGAGAGCCCTTGCGGCACTGTATCAGTGGCGCAAGGAGGCGCAGGAGTTGGGTCGATGCCCCGAGATTCGAGAAATCGATGACCGGAAATCCCAACTCCGCCAGGTCATCATAGGGGAGTGGAGGGAACGACTCGGGCAACCGAGCGCTGGGCACGCCGTCATTGCGGCGGTAAGACCCGTTATGGAGGATTGGCTCGAGAGGCGTCACGGGACCCTCTCATACCGATTGACGCAGGTGATCACTGGGAAGGGATGTTTCGGAGATCACCTGTGTCTGATCCGCAAGGAGCCAACGCCTGAGTGCCACCACTGCGATGGCCAGACCGTGGACACGGCTCTCCACACGCTGGCAGAGTGCCCGGCGTGGGTTGAGCAGAGGCGAGACCTCGTGGCGGCCATCGGAGTGGGAGTTCTCTCGCTCGATAGCCTGATTGCGGCTATCGTGCGGAGCGAGAGTGCGTGGAACTCTGCCGTCTCCTTCTGCGAGCAAGTTATGCTCGCGAAGGAGACGGCGGAGCGGGACCGGGAGAGGTTTAGAACTCTCCCGGCCCGCCAGGCCCGGGCACGGGCCAGGCAGCGCAGGCGACTCAGGCGCCGGAGGTCGCAGAACGACCTCCGTCCTCCATAAGCGCAGGCCTGGGGGTGACAGGTGAGTCCATCTGTCACCCTAGCAGAAGCAGGCCGGGGTGGCGGCGAGCGCGTTGCGAAGCGCGCTCGCTTCCAGGGAGCACAGGGAACATGGGGTTCCCACACGGGGCGGGGGTCGTCTACTCGTCTGTAGATGACCCGAGGTATGTCGGGGCACCAGGGCCTTCCTTTCTAGGGTATACCTGATTCCCCGGCTATTAGTACCCGGCGAAGGCGTGCGGTTTTAGTCGGTTCGAGTCCGACATGCCACCGACAGGTGGTATCCGAGGGGATTTCCGCACGGAAAAAAAAAAAAAAAAAAAAAAAAGGTATTGCAAAAAACTAATCTTTTAATAAGTTCTATTCTATTCCACTTACCAAGTTGAAATAGGTTGAGATTATGTCGGCTGGGGCCGTCGGTTTTTTATTAGTAGTATTACTTTTGTATTAGTCATCCAGCTACTTAGTAGTTTGTGGTCTATTTTGTTTGACCGTACCGAGACAGATCGATTGTGCCACGTGTATCGTTCACGAACTCAAACCGCCGCAGTTCTTATAGTCTTAATTGCTTTAAAACCTTTTCATTACATTTTTAAGTCCAATTTATTTCAACAGTTGAAATAAATTGGACTAGCAATTTAAGTTACAGTTACTGTAACTTAAATTGCTAAGTAAATAATTAAAAAGTCAAGTACACTTCTGCTGGGTTTTCTAGCAAAACATTACCGCGGCAACTTTTAATTAAAACTTTATTACGTTCGTCCTTAGCAGTTTTGATATTTAATTATAAAAAAAAATATTTAAATTCATTTCTTTGAAAACTTATAAATAAAAAGACTTACAAATGGTTC